GTTGCCTGTTTGTTATTTTGGCTCGCATTTGGCAACGCCGCGCAATATTTTTGTTTTGACAAGCGCTCTCTCCTCTCTCTCTGTACGGTCGTCGCTTGGCCGCTCTCTCTCAGCATCAGAGCGCGCAGTTTGTATCAGTTTCGCTCTTCCGTGCTTGTTTGTTTTTGCTGCGTGCCAGTGGCAGTGTTTTGCTTCTTTTTTCTGCTTCTCGCTGCAATTTGCCGACCGCAGTCGCGCTGCCCGCCCCCGTCCTGTCCACGTCCCTGCTCCCGGCTCCCCGCTCCCGCCAGCGCCTCGTCTGTATATATGCATGTACATATGTATGTTTGTAGGTGTACGAACACAAGCGTACGAAAAATATCAGGCCGGGCGGTTCGCGATTCGCAGCGACGCAGCAGAGTCGGCGGCAGAGTTTGTCCGCTGGCGGCTGACAGGTACACACATATGAATGTCTGCATGTGTATGTAGACTAAGTATGCATGTGTGTGTGTTCTACGTAATTCAATTTCAACCGCCGCCAGAGCATTCAAGGCACAAGACTAAGTTCCTTTGAATACATACTTTAATATGTACATAAATATGTTTGTACATATGTTGTATACCCTAACTAAGCGTGTTCCGCAGGGCTGCTATTTCTAGACCTACTTAAGTAGGTACTATCTTTGGTACATACCCACTGAGAGCCCAATCTCGTCCGCGATTTGCGTCCACACCTTCAGCTTCACTTCCACGTTCTTGTAGTCCGGATTGTGATTGTTGTAGACCACGTCGTACCGCTTCACGATATCGATGAAGTCGGAGGTGTTATCGGATGTGGTTGAGGACTCACTAATTGCGCGCGCCGCTTTCGTGTCCTTCATCCTGTTAACGGTATACTGGCTGGCTCAGCTAACGGTTATTCGAAAACACAAAACCTCTGTTCCACAGTGCTCGGGGCGGGCGAAGTCTTTTTATAGGCGTGTAGGCGCTCTACTGACCGCCCAGCCGCGTTCTGTGTTTCTCCCCGGCCGCTCCACCAGCCATCAACACAGGCGTAGGCAGAGAGCCGAACGGAACGCCAACGGAGAGAGCGAGAGAGAGTAAACTGCGAGCGAGAAACCGTCCGACTGCCGTTTTGTATGACCGCTTCGACAAAAGTTGGACACTTGAATGAGACGATGAGCTGCATGCACAAACCCAACAGCAGCAGCAGCACCAGCAGCAGCAGAATCGGCAACGGCAGCAGCGGCGCCAAGCCAGGCAGCAGGGAGACCATTCCTCTCCACCCACCCTCCGGCCCGCACTCTTCTTGCGCACTCACTTATACACACAGACACATAGCAGCCGCAGCAGCACCACCAGCAGCAACAACAAAAGCGGGCCCCAACAGCGACGCGGCCGACCGTCGTTGGAGGACGTGTAAAGAAGAACAAGAAGGCAACCTCATCATCATCATAGCTGGCAGTGGCAAAGGCAGTGGTGGAGAAGGAGGAGGAGTAGGAGGAGGTAGAGGTAGAGGCACATACAACAGACATATAGACGGCAGCAGCGCAGTTTGGCGCTCGCAATAAAACGCGCAGCGTCGCACCGCTCCAACAGCCGCAGCTACAGCGGCAGCAGCAGCAGAAACGTTAACCGCCCACATTCGCCGCCTCCCTCCCCACAAGGCAAAAACATGAGATTGTTGTTGCTGTTAGTTGTGGCTGCTGCCGTTTCATTTTGTTGTTGTTGTGTGTGTGCGTGAGCGCGACAAAATCGCAACAGTGCGAGGCAGTGGATGTGGATGCCAACACCCGCACCCTACCTCTCTCACCATCTCTCTCCCTCTCTCTGTCCCTCTTCTCCCAGGCATTGGCATTGCAGCCTTAGCTTTCGAGGCAGCTTTATTTGATTGCCGATGCAGAAACTGTTGCACCTTCATCACGTGTCGTGCCGCCAGAATATGTTGTTGCCTGCACTCACACATACCACACAGATGCATCTCTGAAGTTCAAGGTCATTGATTTGGTGGCATACGGAAATGGCAGAAATATCGCACAATTACCAATCCCGGGCTTTGGCCTGCTTAAGCAGAGATCACTGTGCTCTTCGCTGCCTGTCCTTATCGGCTCGGCCGTCGCTGCGTCAGAGCTTTTACTGTGAAAGCGTTGTTTCTTGTACATATGCATGTATGTACGTACATCAGTATGCATGTACATACATATGTATGGGTTGTACCGCTTTAGCCCAGCATCCAAGAGGGGGAGAGAGCAGGCGACGGGGCCCAGAAAAGTTGCTCCATTCCATCGATCCAAGCAAGTCCCGTAGAATTTCTGTGCCCGCCGCTCTCCCCCCGCCCCACGGCTCCCTCATCTCCTCTGACATCAGTTCGTGTTGTTGCTTTGTTGCGACTCTTTTTCCTTTTCCAAGCTGTTTTTGTTGCCAGCGCCGTAGTCGTCGTCGTTGGCGTCGGCCCCCACTCAGCCCCAGTGCTGACTGCTGCCGACCGAACCTACGACCAGTTAACCCCCCTCTCGACAGCCAGCCACTGCACGCCCGCCCGTCCGCGCCCCCTTGGCTCCTTGTGCGAGGCGGACTGAGCTGAGCCCCAAACTAACACGTAGATGGCGCCTGTGTGTGTGTGTGTGTATGTATATGTGCCAGTTGCGTGTGTGTGTTTGTATCTCTTTCGCTTGTGCGGGTTTTTGTTGCTTTTATTATATTTTTTCGCTTTTCTCTCTCTATGCCCGTGCCTTCCTTCAGCCTTCAGCCAGCGACAGCTCCTACTGCGACGTCCGTTCCACCTAGCTCCCCTGGCTCTCTGTTTCTCTCTTACTGTACACACGCGCACACACACACACGCAAACACAGGCAGTCAGTGGCAGCCGCCTGTCTCGTCCTGGCGGCCGGCCCCCCTCCCACCGCTGTGCCAGCTCCCGGCATGCCTCTTCCATACTCATCATCATCATCGCCATCATCATCATCGGCTTCTGCCAGCCCAGCCCCCACTACTCCCCCAAGTAGCAGCAGCAACAACATTTTGTGGAGAGATGTGCCGCAGGGTGGGGGAAGGTGGGACGTTAGGCGTTTTGCCCGTCGTTGTTCGGCGGCGGCTATGGCATGGCTATGCATGGGCGTATGTATTAGTTGTGTGTGTGTGTGTGTACTTCTGTCTCTCCGCTGCTGTTTTGGTTGTGTTTGTGGAGCAGGGGCGGAAGTGGGTGAGGGGGGGGACGGTGCAGAGAGCGGCCTACCTACCGCCGCTGGAAAACATGTTGTTGTTGTTGTTGTTGCTGCCTTTTGTAAATCGATAAACGATGTCCGGAGTGCGGCATAGTCGAGCGCTTTGCGTGTGTACCTCCTCCCTCTACACATGTACATACGTGTGTAAGTACATACATAATATGTACATATACGCTATGTATATGTATGTGTGATTTTGTATATACTCTGGTTGCATTACATATCATATATGTAAATTGTATATATGTACAACATGGTGCCTTAGTGTGAGTGTTGGTCGGTGCAAAGCGGCCCAAAGCATGTGTCCCACGGCTGGTCAGCGGCGCTCTGGAGTTTGATGCAACCAGCCCACATATGCATGAGGGCAAACCCATACATACTCGCTTGCACCTGACCTGACCGCCATTCCTCTTTCGTCATGCCTTAGACCCCTGTTGACAAAATTTGCCTTAGAAATATCTATCTATCTCGAAATTTATCTTCAGCCAAAAGAAATCTTCCATCTTTCCATCTTTCAGCTCAAAATCAGAACCTAACAAAGATCCCGTTTATTGGGAGTACTGCCTGGCGGTCACCTCACGCGGAAAGGACATCCCGCAGGCGTACACTTTTGATTGATTGATTAAAATATTCATTTCTAGATTTACCTTAATCATAGAAATTCACAATAAGTATACCCGCTTCATTGCACTGATTGGAAGTTCCATTATAAGTTTTTGATAAGACGAAGATCCCTTTACTGAGCGGGACATGGCAAAACGTCGATCTTTTCGGAGGAAACCTAATCTCAAGCGTGATTTCTTAAGTTTTTGGTTCCATTGACCTGTTGAAAGATCTTTCCTAAACGCATTTTGTAACTGGAACATGGATGAAATGCATTCTCAAGTATGCCGACATGCAATGTCCAATACGAAAACGAAGGAGTAGCAGCTTCTAGCCCATATGATCTGGGGCTCACAATGATCAGCCAAGTATGCTTCTTACGGCATCAATTATAGATTATAACATGTATACGATGTGTGAATAATATTAAATTGTCTTTGGCTCCACTGTGCCCCAGGCCAGTCCATATACGATTTGGCAACTTAAGTCCTGCATCCATGTTCTCTCTCTGTTCTTTGAGACTTTTTATAGTGGTATTTATGAATGAAATCCTGATTCCATATCTTATAACTATAGTATGTGCTTAATTTTATGCTTTACTTACTTACTTATTGCTACAGCAACAAGTAGAATATCATGATGGAGATACAGTTCCACTCCTATGAGAAGATTACATTGAAAAAGGATCAGGGATTCTATCATTTGAATTTCCAGAATGTGCCCTGAAACAACTTTATAATGGAAAACCCGCTGAATGAATGGATTCCTCGTCAAAGCCCATGGATCCACTGTCGGGGGAAGTCGTGAGATCTACCTGCTGAGCTACAATAGGCGGAACAACACACCATCCACGCCATGTCATACGCCCGGGAGTTTCTTATTGATTTCGCGCAGGCCGCCGTCTTCTAAGCAATTTCAGCAAGGCCGAGATGTTGGAGGATGCGAGTTTTCTGAAGGAAGCTTTGAAGATTTTCTACAAATTTTCCAATCAGAAACCACTTCGAAACCAAATATCCGAGAAGCGCTTGCCCAACAGTTTTTTTCAAATAAAGAATAGATTTAGATTAATTTAGTTAGGATACATCGTATACGCATTGATTCTGGGAAAAAATCTTGTGTCCTGTGATAAGCACGAGGAACTATCCAAAGAATTGTTTTTGTATGCATTAATGAACATTAAAGGCGAACGCGATGAGCTAATCCAAATGAGTGCGGGGACCCATTGGCCCCACAATGTCCACGTCCCTACCTAATTCCCTCTGCCGCTCCTTGATCTGCTGCTGCTGGAATAGCAGTTGCACCAGGATAATCACATAGTTGGCCATGCCGTTGTACACCTGCAATGGCGAGACGTAGCTACTGAGAGGAACTCTTGGCTAGGGGCTCAGCTCACCAGGAAAATGGTTGACACACTGAGCGGTATGCTGCTCCCGATGAGGGCCGCCTGCCTGTTGTGCATGCGCCAATGCTGGAAGTCCTCCACCTGACTGCGGGCCAGTGGCTGCTGGGGAAAGTGCTGCGAGTAGAGGCCAAGGAGGCGGAGGCAGTTTCGCTTCTGCGGAGCAGGCACAAACAAGGATGATCTCCCTTAGTTATCGCAGCAGAGAACTCACCTCCCGCTGAAGCAGATAGCCATAGGTGCTGGTGATGATTAGCTTGTAGGAGTGAAGCGTGACGTGGAGCAGCATGAATGTGTACTCTAGGTCCCAGGCCTCGGACCCCAGAACCTTCTGGCAGATCACGTACACAAAGCAGGTCATCAGGCTGAACTCGTAGAAGAGCCCGGCGGCAGCCGCGAACCCAAACACTGCATTCAACTCTGCCAGCAAATGGGAGCACCGCTTGGTGAACTCGAACAGCTTGGCAATCCTCCGATGGACCGTCGTTTGTGGACGATCTCTACCAGTACTCCCTTCGTACTCTTGATGGAGCAGCTTCTGGATGAGGCGCAGGCGCAGCCGCATGAAATCCATGATGGCAATGTGAACAAATCCCACCAGGCCCAGGGAGCTCGTCAGCAGGATGTAGGTGCCAGCCATCAGCAGGGTGGACGAGAGGCGGCAGGTGCACCGAGCCATGTCGAGGATGAGCGACAGAGAGAAGGAGAAGAAGCAGATAGTCACAATCACCGCATACAACACGCTCACAGGTGAGCTGCGCACCGTTGCCGTAGCAGTAGATGAAGCCATCGCTCGACGGCTTGCGGGGCTTCATGTGGCCGTTGCTGAATGATCCTGGCCAGAGGCGTGCAGAGGTTCTTATCCTCGCGTACAGAGGTAATTAAGAGCGATAGCATCGGACTAATTGAATACATCGTTTGTTAAGGGTGTTGCGCTTGTATAAAATGACACCTGAAGGTATATATATATATTAATACTCCTCCGCGTTATGGTATGTATGTACACAGTATCTTAAATTATATCTCAACTTGATGCACTCGGTTTTTGATCTTTTTTATTTTGAACCCAGCGATGGATGCTTAATGGTAAAAATGTGAAAAATCTCTAGGATCCTGCTCGGAGAGTCGCTTATTTGTTGCTATTTGAAATAGGTGAATGAATTTCATTCAATGGGTCGGCAATATACATCCCGATGAGACGCAATCTTAAGCCTGCACCTTGCTCTTGGTGGTGAACGCGAAGTAAGCAACTCCGCCTACCAGGAAGGCGGCCAGAAGCTCGGCCTTTATCCAGGGACCCTTGTAGGCGCTCTTGGTTGGCACAGTGATGTCCAGCAGGGACTTGACCGACGAGACCTTGTCGCCGTCGCGCTGAGCCTTGCGTACGTTGGCATAGCCATCCTCGTCGAAGAGACGCACCTGGACGTTGCCGCTGCTACCTTGCTTGATGTCCTCCACCCAGCTCACCTGCAATCGGCATATTTCATCGTTAATATTTCCTTATAGAAATGCATTCAGAGGGGGGTGGGGACTCACCTGGTACTTGCTGTCGCCAACCTTGGCCACGGGAACAACCTTGCCGCAGGGGAACTCGGCGAAAAGGCTGGGCTGTGCAGAGTTGCTACACTGCAGCGTGAGCTCGGCAACGTGCGCCAGCTGCGTCAGAATGGTGGCATCTTGGGTGCTGAAGGATGACACGGTGGCCTTACAGCTTCCGTAGACACCGGATGCACCCATCAGGGCGATCAGGCATAGGGCGACCAGTTGACGGCACATTTCGGGTAGGTTTTTGTGGGGTTTTTAATTGAAAATATAGCAAATTCTAAGGAGCGTCCAACAAAGCCGCCTGCCACTTTCTTTTTCTTTGAAATCAAAAAATTTTTGATCGCCACGACAGCAGCGACGTGGATGACAGCTGACAGCGGATTTTACTTGATTATCGGTTACACGTTACACGGCAACTACACATATGCTACATAATGGGGGAAAAAAGAGGGTATGGACAATGGGCAATACGGCTCGAAAGTGTAACGCTTGCAAGTTAAAATCCACCCCTTTTTCTTATTATACCTTGAAGACAAAAAGCCGATTTTGTCGTCACAGGCGAGGTGAGGTTCGTAGGAATATTGCAATTTGCTTTGGCTGTTTTTGCGTGTTGTCCATACCCTTTTTTATAGTCCATTTAAAATTACGATTCATGACAGCAGCTACGTCATTTGACAGCTCGAGTGTTGACGAAATTTTACGAAGTCTTGCGATAGTTGATGACAACAAAATCTGCTGTTCCACAGCGATGTTTTTGCAAGATATCGATGGTGGAAATCGATACTAGTATTGCGGTTACTTTTTAAATTCTGTTCTTGGCAGTGACAGAATTTTAGACCCATGTATTTTTATTCTGTTTTGCTAATCCAACGGAATCTACCCATGCAATTGCAATCTTTTTTACTAGGTTACTCTGTTCCAGGCACAGTAATTTCCGCTATGCCGTTTCTCTTAATTAAAATGGTTTTTTTTTGACATGACAGAGGAACAAAGTTTGGTGGTACCGCTCCGTATTTGGTTACGGCTATTCGGTCTAATATGCATTTATTTTGCTCGACTTATTTACGGCATTTCCATTGTAATTGATTATAAATTGCAAAAACCAAAACGGAGCCCGATTGCCATACATACCGTACCGTACCATATCATACTCCACCGCTCCTCTCCCCTTCCCGTCCGTGGATGTGGCAGTCGGTTCCGTTTCTGTCTGTGCCTGATCGGTGGCACATAGCCCGTCGTCAAAGTCAAAGTCGCGTCATCGAGCACCTGCAATAAATATCGACTTGAAATGATTAATGCCGCCGGGAGCCCACTCCCACTACATTCGTTCTTTGAGGGGCCTTTCAGTTTTGTTTTAAGTACATTTTATTTGCCGTGATGCCAGAAACAACATATAGGATAGGCAGTATATACCCGTATTTACTGGCATATATGGAAATGGCTTGGTTGATGGCTGATGTGGCTTTGGCCTTGGACTGGGCTTGATTTAGTTTTTGGCATTCCTTTTGGCTGTTGTGTTGTTCGGCTGCTCAGCTCCGTTTTATGCCCTTTTCTGTTTGTTCTCGCTTCCCTGCGTCTCGCCTGCTTCTCGTTTGTGGACGTTACGTTTCTTTGATTGCCGACGCGCACGGAACTTTTCCTACAACTTTGCATGTCTTTGATGAATTTGAAATTGTCACAAATATGAAAGTATTTCACTTGCCAACAGGAGACGCGGGAGATACGTTCTCGGGCGATAGATACCCCCACATACCATACATAGTAGTGACAGCCGAATTTGCATCAAACTTTTCCTGACATTGTGCGACTCGTACGCATTCCATCCTATCTCTATCTCTCTTTTTAACTCTCTCTCTTCTACCCTACCCTACCCACTAATTTGCATAGACCGATACTTGTACCTTACGTTACCAGACTAACCTACACTCAACAAAAGTATTACTTTTGAGAACCGAGACCAAGAATAGTATACAATCCAATCGGGTCGCGGTGCAACAAGTCCCTACTTAGAGTCCTGACCTACAGCGTCTTCCCCCTACAATCTTAATGTCCTGTGCGAGATATGTGACAATAAAATAAGGATTCGGTTCGGCTAGATGTGGCAATCCATTCGAATACTTTTCTGGCGGTGGTGTGGGGTGCAGGGGAGTCGAATGAAAACAAAAGTTCGTGCGAGTTCATTGAGTTGAGCGAAAACTTGGCAGACCCAGCTACAGTTGCACGTGCCTCTGGCGCTGATGTGTGGGCGGGCAGGGCTGGGCGTGTGTGCAGGGCCGGAAATGGAACAAACAACCGAACCGGAGCCAAGAGAGAGCGAGCATAACAGGCACGGCGCTGACTCCTTGCCAACGATATGATTTTGTTGATTGTTTGTTGGTAACATAAGCGGAGACCCAGCCCCGAACGCGGACTCGAGTCCGAATGCGACTCCGAAACCTGATGGTCCTGCTGTCTGATGGTGCAGGAGCCTTCCATTCACAAAACGCAGTCGGTGCACGGCAGGCAAACAGAGTGGACGTGGAAGACTCCACAATCCCAGAACATAAGTAGAGTTGGGGCCAGAACATCGCGTCGAAGAGTCTCCGGCGGAGCGGGGGACTGACTTCAAGTGGCTTTCGCTTTCGTGACTGCGGCCGGTTTTGGTTAACGGTTTTGGTGATTTTCGGCTTTCGGCTTTCGGCTTTCGGTTTTCGATTTCGGTTCTCTGTTTTGGTTTCGGTCTTGGTTTCCGTTTGGTTTCCTCTGTTTCCCGGGCTGCTTTGTTGACAAAGTTATTGCCTCTGGCTTAATGACTTCGTAATTGATTTGCATTCGATGTGCCACATTGATTGGCAATTGAAACGTAAACCCCGACGGCACTGTTAGTCATCCTGCCCCGACCTCTCGGCTATCGCAAATCCTGTACCCTCATTCCCCATCCCTATTCCCGTTTCCATTTGGACCCGTAATCATTGTCACCGTTCCTAATCAAAGGTCGGCCTGTTTGTCGCCGTCATGTCGCTGTCTGTGGCGAGCCGTCGTCGCTTTCAGACGGCTGGAACGCCGAACGGATCATCCACCAGCTCCAGGTCCGTCTCCTCTGCGCGTTATCCCCTACCTCTCCCCGTGCGCAAGCAGCACTCCTTCATCGATCCCGCCTCGAAGTTCACGGCCCAGCAACGCGGCTATCTTTCGCGTGGCCTCTCCGTTGGTCGGTCCATCGAGAACATCCGCCAGAAGCTGTATCCCGTGAGCCGGCAGACAACTCTCGCCGTCGATCAGTCCTCGCCCAAGTTTGTCCCACGCGTAACTTCCACCCAGAGCTCTCTGCGGCTGAGGGAGAAGAGTCTGGTGGCCTGGTCTTCCACGTCTTCGCTGTTGAAGCCATCGCTGGACCACGAACCGGACAGAGCCAAGCCTGCCGATCAGCAGGATCCAAATAAGTAAGTAGCCGCATATTCAAGCGAAAAAAAACCAATTCAGGGAAGTAAGAGGAGGTTCTTATCCTTTACGGAATACCATTTGTTTGACCTTGGTGTCAGGAGAGGGTGCGTAGCGTATACGGCAATAAAGGAGTCGGCCCCTCTCCCACACCTCAACGCTCTTTCCACATTGATATCATCTATATAAATATGCCGAAAATGACACTTTCCCTACAAGGGTGGTGGTGCTGGTGGTGGTGGTGGGGGGCACGTACAATTTGCATGCTTCACACCAGAATCAAACGTCAAAGTTTTATGTTCAGTGCATAACACACGCTAGACATGCTCGTAGCAGCATGGAGTAGGACCAGGACACCCAACCGAACGGAGTCGGAGCCGACTTGCGGCACACTTAAGTCGATCATTGCAGAGGTGTGCCTGACAAGATAGCTGCTGGCTGGAGCCCACGGTGGGGTGGGGTGGGGGGCACTGTGTCGGCGGGGATTAGGTTCAATGAACTGCTACAGATTTATAGACTCACTTTCGTGGCAGTACCCACTCGCTCTGTACGTTTTTTCGGGTGAAAATTGCAAATGTAATTGACATGGTTTCATTTACCCAATCACACACGACTGTGTGCCAGCCAGGAGTGGGACAGGACTGCCACTGTGTGTAGTGGAGGAGTTGTGGAGGGTGTGGACGTGGGAGTAACCGGAATCATCGCCAGCTAATTTCTATTTCTGGGCCTGGTCGGGTGTGTTGCATGCCAGGGAATCGAGAACAGCATAAATTGCCCCAAACTAATACCAAATAATTTGATTTAAATTTAGACCAGAGCTGAGGAGGAGGCCAGGAGGGAGAGGGAGAGTAGGTCAGGTCACTTGAAACTTTCGCTTCCATCCATTTGGCTGCATTTCCCTTTTGCAGCAGCGCCAAGGCGGACAAGAATCGGATCAACCTCAACATTGTGCTGGCCCAGACGATTCGGGCCACCAACGAGCAGGAGCCCATTCCCAGTGACATCGACAGTGCCACGGAGAGCTGTGAGCCGTCCCGGCCGGAACCAGAAGCAGCTTCGAACCCAATCCCAATCCCAGTCGCCGTCCCCTTGAGTGTCTCGCCGACCGCTCTGACCGTCCAGCGGCGTCCGCCCCTGGTGCGTGCTATGTCCGCTCCGGTGCGGGGTCTGGACGAGAACAGCAGGAGCGTGATTGCAGCCAGCAAGAGGAGCCAGCAGAAGCTGCGCCGCCGCAAGATCTTTACGCGCACACCCTCATCGGTGGCTGGCGGGGCATCGCCCACAGTCGGGGTCGGCGTCGAGGGAAATAGCAGCAGTTCCCTCCTGGGCGGCAGTGACTCCTCCAGCAGCAAGAAGACCCTGGGAAGGACGCGCAGTGTTGTGGCTCCCGATGTCATCACACTGGTGTCCCTGCTGAGCTCCGAGGGCAGCGACTCGGAGCGGGAGGACAACAACTCGGCGACTTCCACGCCAGTCGGTGGAGGCGACAAACAGCTGCCGGGATCCACGCAGCGCAGTCCCCAGAGAAGGGCTCCGCTCTTGAGGAAGACGGGCAAATCGGGTAAGTCTCAAGATCCCGGCTAATCTAAATTTTAGTCCCCCACTTGCGACTGAGCTAAAGCTTTTTGGCAGTCTCGTTTCAAGACAGCTATCCGCCCACCTTCCAACTGGCGTCCAAGGAGTACTCCCACATGATCAGGCGCGGCTCCATAGCACCCCTAGCTGCCCGTATTCGCGCCAATCGACCGCCGACGGCGCCGCCCGTCTCCATTTTTCTGAGTGAAGGGTCCGCCAAGTCGGATCAGCCGCAGAGGAAGTCCATGCAGGCTCAGGGTGAGGCTGGGGGGGCCGATTCTCCGTCCAACATGTCGCCGGAGGAGGCCAAGAAGGAGAACAACAACAACGCGGCCAACTGTTCGGAGCAGCAGGACCACAACTATCCGCTGTACGTGTGCAGCATCAAGGAGCGCGAGTGCTGGAAACTCTTCCAGAAGATGTGCGCCAAGGGAGTGAGTGTCAGCTACGACACGGTGCTGCGCGGTATGCTGACGCCCACGGAGTTCCGCCACTTCCAGAAGCAGCGGGAGCAGGAGGAGGCCCGCGTCCAGGAGGAGGCGGAGGCCGCCGAGGCAGCGGCAGCGGCTCTCGAGGCCAGCGAGAAGGACTCGCGCAAGATGCCAGCCACGGCCATCGAGCGCCTCTCCGAGTCCCTTCTGCATAGCAAGTGAGACCGAAGGACCAAACTCAGCTGTAGCCCCAGTCCATGAACCATGGACCATGGACCATGACCATTACTATTGCATTTGCCCCTAGTGGACGTAGAAGTAGCCGAACGAACAAAACAAGCACTTGTTATACCGCCATCGCACCCAGCTGAGACACATCGGCGTCCATCTCGTAGTTGTAGCCGGTACCCGCCTCCCATAATATAATCCTTAATTAACTGTTGGTGTAGACGGCCCCCTAGGGGCAATCAATCAAGCTTGTGTGGACGTTGTGCCTGGCCAATCACAATCGCAACCGCAATCGCAATCGAATGTACGAGTAGTGTAGTTTCCCCCCTAGTAATAAAGTACTAAAGACACGACGCCAAATTTGCCTTCTGTTTTGCTTTGGTGGTTCTCTTCTTTCAGTGAAAATTTGGAAAATGATTAAGTATTCGTTAGTTTATGTAATCTTTATTTGATAATTAAAAGCAACACTTAGTTGATGATGTTTTTTGGGGCTGTCATACACCGCAACAAGCTAAAATGGATTCAGAAACTCAAAAGTAGGGAATACAGAAGGTAAGAGAAACAGAAACGTATTTTTAAATGGACGACAGTTTGCAATATCTTCCAAGTCAGATTCAATGTTATAGCCTTAGATTCCATTATAGGTATTTCTCGAGGTATTTGCAAACATCGGAAGAATAGGTTTGAATAGTTTAATTGACGAAAAGAAGGCAATGATTGAGAAACAGGTGAAACAGTAGGGAGAATTGCGATGAAGAGGAGTGTTTGTTGCGCTTTCTTCTAATCATATTCTTCGATATACAATCCGGTCCGCTTAGTTGAGCACAAATTGGGTGGGTTTCGACCTTCAAGCCAATGCCACTACATGCATTTCAATAGTTATTAATAATATAGATATAAATATGGAAACGAACAGGAATGGGGAATGCGAGGTGGATTACTTGGCCTGTTCCCGCCGGATGGAGGAGGCCAGATAGCAGGCGAGGACAATGCCCAGTATCTGGATGAAGGCAATGCCGATGCCCACTCCGATCAGGATGCTGGCGTTCTTATCGATGCGATCCTTCAGCTTGCCCACGCATCCGTCCTGGTAGAACTTGTCCTTGCCGAGGGCCGGCGAGTCCAGGCAATGCCCGACAGTCGTGTCGATGAACTGCGGCTGACAGCAGCTTGCCGGGAGCGTTTTGTTGGCGCTGATGGCCCGCCAGTCAGCCGGGGTATCGACGCCGCAGCACATCAGCTTCCGCTGGATGTTGTCCCAGGCCATGGTGTCCTCGCTGCTGGAGCGCTTAATAGACTCCTGAAGGGAGTTCTTCACCATCATCTCCAGGTCCTTCTTAAACACGCTGGCGGCAATGCCCACGGCCAGCTCAACGATGAAGATGACGGCCAAAAGAACAGCGAACTGTGAATGGGATGCACCTTGGTTAGAAGCGTTTTCCGGGTTGGCTATTGGAGGACACCTACCGTCAGCAGAAGCGTTGGTGACTCCTTGATCGCGCCGAAGCAGCCCAGCGAGGCGATCAGGAATATGACCAGTCCCGTCACAATCAAGACAATGGGCGGTGCTATCACGCGGCCCTCCACAAAGTGATTAAACTCATTGACATCGGCCAGCACAATCGCTCCGGCAATGAGTATTCCCAGGCCCGAGAGCTGTAAGCGTTTGATCGGATTGATTAAAAGACCAAAGGCCACAGAGTGCACCCGCAAAACCCCCCAATATATCTTGCGTACAATTAGGCTAATGGCTTCCAATAAAGTCGTATTTGTATTTACATTTCCAATTCTAATTGTCCGATTGACATCAGCGCCAGTCCCTTTCCGTTTCCTCCCGGTCCCACCCACAACCCAGGGACCTTGTCCATTGGGCCTGTCAAGGCATTTCCATGTCCATGTCCACGTTCTTGTGATGGCCAGTTTGTTGTTTGTTCTGTTGGTCAATGCGAAGGACACAATCCAGTTGCATGCTGCTACACTCGAGTCGCATTTGCAGTTGGCCCCCCCGGCTCGTTCGAAGCCCATTCAATGGCGAATGAAAATGTCATTTTCCAACGATAATCATCTTAATGGGGCAACTGAACAAGACTCTATGCATAAGCGTGATTATAGTGCTGAAAGCAGCTTTATTAGGGCGAATTAGCTGGAAAGTTCTAGGCCATATGAATCAGGAGTATTGATTAGGTTTGATTGGTTTCCTTTGGATTACCAGAGCAAAAAACTGATTTGTCAACCGAAAAATCCTAGAGAATGCCGTTGAAGATCAGGGATGGCTAAAAGTCCAGATAGATAGCAATGGATTGATCTACTTATTATCAGTTCTGTTCCTGGATGAGATCAGTGACTTTATTGCTAAATATTAAGTAAATATGGAATCGACAGCCCGATAGTCACGTAAAAAGTATATATCCTCATAGGTGACCCATCACATTCAAAGTAAAAGTCTGAAAGTATTCAAGACTATTCCACACTCACCGCAAAGAGCACATTGAAGGCAAACAGGACATATTTTATTAAGCTCGGACCGCACGAACGCATTTCGATTTTGATTCAATGGAAGCCAATTTCAATGGAACTTTAGACTGTGACAAATTCAGAATCACTTGGAGGAGAGCAGAGACAGAGAACCGCACTTTGGAATTGAGAGATCAATGTATGTAGACGCGTCCGGCCAATGAGAAGCTAAACCACGAACTGACCAGAGCCACGGTCCGGCTGGGCTTTAGAAGCCTTCTCTGCTCGGCGATTGTGTTGTGGCCACTCTGAGGTTGGCGCTGGCAACGCTTTGGAGCTGTGGGTAGTGGTAACAAAAGTAAAAGTGAGTGAAAGTCTTAGGGGCCCGTTTCGAATTCAGGCCAGGCATGATTAGTTCAGAATAGGGATAGGGATGGGAATAGGGAATGTGGATGGTGGATGGTGGAATATGGAATGGGGTGGGAGTATTGGCCAGGTTTTATGCTTTGTAACCCATTTCGGATAGTAACTCGATACAGAGCCAAAAGCCAAGCCACTTTGACCAGACCAAAGGCGTCCGGTAGTGGACAGGGTGATTGCTTACGTCCGCCAACAGCTTTTTTTGGGTTGCGTGAAGCTTACCTTACCGCACCATTGTTTTTCTTGGTGGGTCAATGCACTTATTACCATAAAAACTCTGTTGGAATTTCCCTTTAAAGTTCAGGCTCGCCAGCCACTTCACACTTGGGAGGAGCCGGGCTCAAGGAGAAATTAATTGCGTGCTTTCGTGTGAAGGCAAAGGAAAGGAAACGAAGTGAAAGTTATAAACGCTCTCCAAGAACCCGAATTCAAGACTGTGCAAATAATTAAAGACGCCCAGAAGTATGCTACCATCGAGTCATCAGCTGGCCCCATTCTGCGCTGAGTCTGGGTCTGGAGAGCAGAGGGCTGTGGAGAGCCTTTGGGTGATGTTAATGTTGCGTGTCGGGACTTATTTCTAGAAGTTGCTCGAGACCCCCTCCCTGGGCAGGCCTATCTGGCCGGAGAAATCTAGCCAATTTCACAAAAATACAAAAAAATAAAAGCTGTTGCTTGACCAATAATTCTGGAAAAAATGAATCCACTGGACAATCCGAAGAAATTGCAGTTCTGTGAATGATTACACGGTCAACATTTGCTGAAGGTTTCCGCGATTTAAAGCTTAATTGTAGTCCCGAGTTGGACTTAATGATTAAGGAACTAACATAGGAGCTGACATATTTGAATGTAGGTTAAAAGTGCTGAGAAAGAAGTATAAATAACATAGAAAGGCGATAAAGAAATAGGTGACCGATGGATGGAAGAATTCTTCTTATACAGGATCTAATGCTAAACCTTATCTAGGTAGAACAATCCGTAGATTATAAGGTCTATAACGTGAATTAAATAGCTTAAGAAAGCTTAAGACTATCGGAACAAGAGATTCTGGCTATCTTCGGCTACTTATTTCAAGAACGACAAAAGATTCAATGGAGTAAAGTATGTATAACAAATTTTATTATCAAACAATTCAAACGTAATACAAGTAGCTTAGTTATTTTCTTCAGTGTTCTGGTTTGGGTGGATAATGCTGTTGGAGTATTCTTATTAATGTATGTGTGAGTGGTGTGTGTGGGCGTGCAAGCGATCTCTAAGATGAACGATCCCATGCCACATGCTCACCATGCCAGAGTTAGACGCTGCGCGAGAGGAACAGAGCAACGACAACGGCGAGAATGGAGAGGGAGCTCCGCAGGCCTCCGACGCCACCATCGCGGCAGGGCCACTCGTCCACATCCGAGCTGTAAGTAGAGTGGGTGCACAGATGTATTCTAATCTTCAGCTAGGGGGGAGCGGATTCACAGATAGAACGGGTGCGGATACGGATATGGGTATGGGTACGAGGGATAGCGCTGGAGTGGATAGACAACATGATCTTGTGGCTCCTCATGGGGCACATAGTACAGTGGGGGCTGATGATGGACATGACGTGCTGATGGTGTTCGTATAGGTGCTGTAGCTTCTTGTAGCTGTTGTGGGGCGCCACTGCAAGACAGAAGCCAGACCAGAAGTTGAAGCTAGCATAGATTGATGAACTCGAGAGCGTTGGTTTGGGGTTAGCTAATCGTAAGCCTACTCCTTACAATACCTCTCTATATGTAGGAAGTTTTTTTTCGATACTCACTAATGGTAATGATGTTAGTACAAATTAGGGGTAGCAGGGGTAGCCAACCCTCCGCAATAGCCACCCCGCACGATTGAACAATCGATGCAAGAGTTTGTTTAGGCCAACAAAAATATGAATGAGTTGCTATATATACTATATCTCTATGTATATATGTTTCAATGAATATGTATAGCTTAGATTTCGGTTAATTATTGTTGTTTTTATTACACACACACACACGCAGAGGCGGACAGAGTCAGTGAACTGCGACAGCGGTTAATAGAAGAAAAAAAATAGTGTGGTGTGTGTTTGTCTTTGTGTGGGAAGAATGGTGTGGATGGAGTCTTAGGGGGGCGGAGAAACAATCCATTAGCCAGGGTTCTTGGGACTGAAGTTACATGTATACGAGTACTTATAAGAGATATTCGAAAGCCATTCGATTTTGTCTTTCTTTGATGGAAGAGAGAGATATTTACTTGACACCAATCACACCGCAGCCTGCAAGGGAATAAAGTATTTATAGAATTAACCAATTAAAGAGACATTCTGGAGACTCCTCACCGATACGGCCTCCTGCATTGCCCGTCTTCTTGGAGTCCACGTGATCTCCCAGTCCGAGATCGTCCTCAAGCTCGTGAACAACAACGGCACGTCCGATAATGCCGCGGTTGCCGGTTAGACTGATCACTTTGTCCGTGTAGGTGATGTCAATGACTCCCGAGGAGTTGACCTCCAGGTTACCCAGATCGCCCACGTGGCGCACCTCATGGTCGGGACCGCCATGATCAACCTGATCAAAGGAAACACTCATGAGTCAATGAAAAAGGAGACCCCCGTCAACCCACCTTGTCGGGATTATAGTGAGCCCCAGTGCTGGCACAGCCGTTGCTCAGATCCCCCTTCTCGTGGACGTGGAAGCCGTGCTTGCCCTCCTTCAGCCCCTCCAGTTGGACACGAACATGGACATTCTGGCCGCAGTCGTTCTGCGTAAAGGTGACGTTCCCCTTGACCTGGCTGCCGTCCGCTTGGGCGGGTCCGCTCACATAGGCGATGGCCTCTATGGGCGTATTACGCTGCAATCGGGATTCAATACGTTATTATCGTTCTGTGGAAGATCACCTCGCACCTCTGTTAGGACTCACCGTCTGAGCAGCAGCACAGATTGTGGCACAGAGTGCCAGGGTGATGGCAATACTTTGCATCATATTTCAAGCTGAAACGGAATAAGAGATCATTAAAGATCGATTAATGCTTCGAAGGAATGTGAATAAATGGTAAATAAAATGGAATGGTTTCGAAGTCCAATCATATAGTCCGGTCGTATTTGACAAGACTATGTAGAACTAGCAGAACTATGATCACCCCTACAAAATGCCATCGCTCATCTCTATCATGTACGTCATCAGGTGAATATTCGCTTGATTTGAGCACTCTGGCCGTTCATTGTCCGTCCGGGCAGTTGTGTGCGGAATTAAAGCGTCTAACCTCAATTTACGAAGCGATTTGTGGGTCATATATGATATACGATATACGAGTACCCATCTGTATAAATGTACAGACACACACTAGTCACTTTAAATAGCATTTTTCACAGGGTTAAGCGTGGCTTTGGGTAAGGTCAATCAACAATCTCTTTTTCATACGCACTTCATTTCCAATGCTCAATGGATGAAATATGAGGGGGAGGGAGAGTTGTTTCAGAGGAATGCTCGTTCAATGGCCGGGTCTCGGTCTCCCGCTTATCAGTTTGCAGTCTGCGATATGCTGGAGATTTGGCTGGGAACACGTACCTGCTCTATCTTTATCTGCACTCGAAATGTGTGTGGCATAATTTACGATTCTCACGGCTATGTTATGGCTTCTTTGCCTATCGTCGTCCGAAATTTACGATTCTCACGGCTATGTTATACCTTCTTTGCCTATCGTCGTCCGACACTTGTCCGAGGAGGGCGAAAGGCGATTGTTGGACCTTTCTTTGGGGCAACGCTATTCGTAGCTTGTTCCCGTTTTGATATGCAATCATTGTGTATACATATATTGGTGGAATTAAGTAGTGCTGACCATTGCGACAAATTGCGGATAATCATCATCGTTTTTTCATCAAATGGGTGTTATTAGGGCTTTGTTGGGTTCTTGCCTGTCAGAGAGGTGTAATTGATTGGATAATAATGGGCAAAGGCCAGAGCTATCAGCTTTACTGGCCTCCCTAGTCTCTAGATCATTTTCGAATGTGCCCAAGCTAATCTGGCCAACTCTTGAGGCATGACACTTATAATTATTTTTTGAATTTCTAGAATCCAACACCGACTATAGATAATGCTGAACAATTGAATTGGCAAACAATGGAGTTGAGTAAACGATGCAAAATATGCAGATAAGAATGATACATTAGTTTCAATATCATAGATAGAAGATTGCAAACAAGTGTTCAGAGGTTCTGTGGGAGTAAAATTCTCCTGATCAGAAACGACTCAGCAGAAGCGAAGCTGTAGGTAGCGCCTTTGTGGATTGTGTGGGGACTGGACTGTAATGAAGCTTGGTTTCCTCTCGACAGCTTAAATTGGGACTCAAGTGCAGTTTTACAACCACACCTACACACACACTGACACAGTATAAGAATAACTGGTTACTTTATTTTAACCCATCCAAGGGCAAGCGACGAACGCAGCGCGAAAAAAGAAACAAAAAAAAAACAGTAAAATAATGAACAACAAAAATGCTTCAAGTGCGTTTTGCGGTAACTGGTTTCAATAAGAAATATCAGAGTCCATAAATTAAAACTGGCTCAGAAAATCTCATTTCCCATTGATCTACGTTTCAGCTTTATTAATTATCTTCACCTTCGTCAATTGTTCCACTCACACTTGTTCTTTTCGTCTGGGTACTCACCTTATTAGCAACTAGTACTTAGTTCTGATTCCTTCTATTTCCCGAAAAACAACCGTTTTGTGCACTTGTCGGTGGAGAACTGCGCGCAAGTCTCGGGCTTTGCTGCCGCAAATTGACTCTTTGACTGGGAAGAGAGGCGCACCTGAGATCAGTGCTGCCAGGTTTTGATGGTGAATAATAGCTAGAATTGAAAAAAGAAATGCCCAAAGTGGCTAAAACTAAAAATAAAT